TTGGTTCTTTTTTCTATTTCTTTCTTTCTTGATTTTTGATCTAGTTTTGCAATTGAAAATTTATACAATACTGTTCTTGCAAGATAATCAGGTCTTTGCAGAGTAATACTATTTTATTTCTCTCTTATTGCCAGGTCTCTTTGTCAAAAGATCTTTGCCATTTGGTAGTCATGTGCAGTGGGGACCTCTCCATAGCTAGTCTTGAAGTAGGTGCAAAGCAGATGTCTAATCATGTGTTAACAGGATTCCATTGCCTAGTTCTTGACACTTCAATTTTTTCCAAAAGGTAATCCAATATCACAAAATTCACAATGCATCTGTTTGTGATTGTTTCTGTATGTCCCAGCCAATGACCTTTGTGGTCCTGCATGTTAACTTGTTTTACTGAACCATTCTTCTTATTAGGGTCTTAGTTCCATGACATGAGTATTGAATTTCATTGAGGGGGCCCTTGTGCATAATTAATATAACTGATAGCACGTGGTTTTACACATTGATGTGCTTGCCAATTGTAATTTGTTCTTAGTTTGTTTGCTTTACTTTGGAAACCAATTCTAGGAAAAATGAGCTTTATCAGGTGGCTCAACAGGCTTCCAACATTGAAGATCTAGGCGAGGTTATCCGGGCATCACTATCAGTCATGTCTAAGCAGTGGTCTGATGCCATGCACACTTTTAATGAAAAGTTCAATGCTTTATCCTCCCTCATTATTGACCATGGTAATGTCTCAATCTCCAAGACACACAACTTTGATGGCCTTTTTGCTCGTGTAATGGTCCCATTTCTTCTGCCACTTCACAGGAATTGACTCCAGTCCTCAAGAGGAGTTTCTGAGCCTTTTGGGTGGGGCCAGGACAAGCCCAGCAGTTCATCAATTTTTAGTCAACTCACTTGGTGAAGCGGTAACCTAGTAACCTCACTTGCTAAACAATCTGAAGAATAGGTGATTAATAGTCATCATAGTTCATGTGGTTATATTTTTCAGGGTCTTAAGAGGGTGGCAAAGGTAGTTTGTGGTGCTGGAAAAGAGCTTCAGCTAGTAGTACTTGATCATCTACAGGTGCCTTTGATCTGTCTCATACCTTAAAAGTATTATATGGTGTCATAATACTGATAAAAGTTTTATTTGGGTTATTATATTCATAGAAAGACAAACATGCATCTTAAAGATGCAGCAGCTTTCATGATTATTTGAAGGGCCTTTTCTTGAATGATTTAAATAGATAACAATTTGAAAGTGCATGCAGAATTCCTTAGAGTTTTGACAGTTCATAAGCTATGAAGCCTGTATATTATTTTATTCTCATACTTAAATACTCTTGCTGGTCTTATAATGGTGTAATTGGTAGTGATTCTCAATTTCTAAAAACGGCTTTGTTAAGGAAACATTAACTCTAAAGCTCTAGTTTCCAGCCTGCTGCAGAAATTATTGGATTTAGAATTGGAGAACTTCAAGCCCTTTCCAAATGGCGTGCTCGCTATCAAGGTATTGGTTTGGATGAGAAATTAATGGGTAATGCAACAGAGAATGCTGGAATGTTTCTCATACAAGTTGAACGATTTACGAGGGTTTTATGTACTGTGGTTCAGCAGGTATGCCTTTGTTTGTGTAGGGCATTCTACTTATCTTGCAGCCACATGCTTATTTATTTCTTTCTGTTTGCACTGTTCAAGCAAGTAGAGCGCTTATGCCGTATACGGAGTAATTTTTAACTTTGAAATTACTAGCTCTTTTCTTGCCTTCATTTTAATATTGTTACCATTCTAATAGTCTTTGTTTCAGTTTTCAAATTTTTTCAGTTGGCTTCTGAAATCCGTGAAGATATTGATGTCTGAACAAAGTGATCAGCTTCAACCTTTCAGTAGGTTTGGAATCCACATTCACTTTCTTCTCACTTCTTTGCCAATTTTCTGGAAGTTTAAAAATGTTGGCCAAAACTATTTATTTCCATCTTGAGATCTTTTTCATTTTTGTTTTGACAGTGAACTTGTCATTATATTCCTGAAGTTTCTCTATGACCAAGATCCTATAAAACAGTTGCTGGAATTATCTGAAGGTGATCATTCCATAGAAGTCGACTTGTAAGTGGTGTTTTCAACCAATTTAAAACTTGAACATTAGATAAGGTTTTTTTTTTTTTTTTTTTTTTTAATATTCTCAGTTTAACACTTAATTTCTTTCATAAAGTTCTTATCATTGTGCAGTGGTTAGTAAATATGCAATGACCTGCAGAGGGTGTACACCAATTCCATGCTGATGTCTTCTTTGTTCATCAGGGAAACAATGCAAAGAATTAAAGAACTTGCACATTTTGGTGGGTTCTTAGATACTGCATTCTTGAAAAGGACATTAGCAGAAGAATTTCAACAAATGGAGAGTTGGTATGCCACTCTTCCCTTTCTATTCTTGTTTTTAAAGATTCCTACCATTGTTTTTGAAGCATCACCAGCCATTGCTTGCATTGTTCTCTCCTTGAAATCTTGAATGCTTTCTATTTAATCATTTTCAATGATGCCATTTATACAGGGAACAGTAATGCAAATAAACATGTACTTACATTAATCATTTTCAAAGATGACATTTATACATGGAACAGTAATGCAAACACATATGTACTTACACATAAGATGTGTAAATGTTTTATTGGATTTTCTTGACCTTACATCTAGATGTCATGTCTATAACCAAGAAATGCGTTTGCATGCTTGAACACACGTGTTACGAAGATTCAGTTACAAGTGTTATGTTTATCAGAATTTTATAGTAAATCTGCACTTTGAAGTATCACACAAGTTTATTGCAGTATTATAAACTCTTCACTTTTTTTGTCGTTGGTTAATACATCTAACTCACTGGATCCTTTTCCTTTGTTTGACTTTCTGTGTTTTTCTGCTCCTTGGTTCAATGGTTTTAGTGGCTTGATTTCATGATGTACAATTTGCAGTTTACAGGAGGCTTTTCAGATGCCCTTTGCTACTATTTCCAAGAGAATACTATGTAAGGATCTGCTCCCTCTTTTTCCTATGGCTGCTTCAACAGTGAAGTCCTCCATAATCCCAGCATCTATATCATACTACAAGGTACTTGCGATGTAAAACTTGAATATTTACAGCATGACTAATACATTATGTAGACTTTATGAAGTGCACCTCCTTGATGGCGCTTTAGGCTGTTTTCTGGATATAGCTCTGACAACCAAAATGTGTTCTTATTGTCACTTTCTATTGCAGGAGGATTTACATGAAAGTTCAGATTGTGAAACTAGTCAACAGAGGCTTACTGATTACATTTCCTTCAGAGTACCTGATAATTCCATCTCAAATATCACAAACTGCATTGGCATAGTAAGGGGGGTCATACATGATATGGGCAATTCAGAGAAAGGATACACTTCATTAGAAGCTTCCCTCTTATGCATTCCTGATGGCTACAATTGTGTGGATCTATCATTATATAAGGTAAACAAGATTTTTTTCGTCATATTAGATTATTAGCATTAGATAAGATGTAAATCTTCCCCTATATAAACACAACATAACATTTCACCATTTAAAACAGGATGCACAACTTGTTTTACTACTAGATGAAATTACTGCTAGTTCTGAGGGCTCTGGAAATGCTTATATGATGATTCTCCAAGCTGGTGACCTCCCATTTGTATCCATCTCAAGATCTTCCAGTCAGAACTCATGGAAGGTTCTTCAACTTAAGGTAAAAACTACCACTTTGTAATCCATATAGTTAGCTTACTGAATAGGATAAACATGTTTTCCAGTTATACATGTTGCATTCCTAGAATTAGATAGGTTGCAGTGTATAGCCGTTTTATAGGACTTCACTTGAATGTGGAGAACCTTGTTTAATATTTTAAATTCACTTTGTATGTCTTGCTATTTTCCAACTAGTGTGGATTTGATCCAATAAAGAACAAACTAGGCTTTCTTCAACTTCTTGCCTAGTTCTTGTCATATGACCTTCTGTTTACTTTTGATATAGGATTGTCTCATGCAATTGACACTAGAAAGTGAAAAGGTTCGAGGAATACCTCACTCTGTCATACCACCCTTGGCAGTGAGTGGTGAGTGCTATTACTTCTGTATTTTCTTGGTTTGGATTATACTTATAAAGCGTTTGTTCAAAGTACCCACTCTTGTGTCATAGGCTCATAGCAATGTGGACTGCATTTGGAATGACCAACCTTTTTGGGAATTCATAACATAATAAATCTTCTTCTTTTTTGTTTTTTTTTGAGAAAATTTATTTTTGAAAAATTCAGGTGGTACTTAGAGAATGATTTTGCAAGTCATTTTCAACCAAGGAAATTTATAATGCTGTTCACTGGTCATTTGTTTTAAATAAAACAGCTTAATTATGAATTATTGTCTTCCATCCAAAGTTATTGTAGAGGGATGTGAGTATTCTCTCTCTCTCTCTCACTATAGGATATTTGCCACCTAGGAGGTCTCTGTTTCACCAAAAGAAAAAAAAAGCAATTTTGTCCTGTACGGCTTCTATTTGTTTCCCATGACAGCCAGCAACTATTTTAGCATCACTTTGTATTGCATAAAGCCTTGAGATCTGTTAAGCTGAGCAAACATTTATCTTGTTATGATTTTCATTGACAGCTTCAAGAGGTGTGGCTTGTGTTTTTGCTGCAAGAAAGCGTGCTTTAGTTTACATCCTGGATGAAGATGAGGATGAAATCTCGGATGCAGAGTGAAGACAACTGCTGTCTGTTTTCCAGGTGCCAGTCTGCTTTCATGTAAATTTTCCTAAAACTTTCCCATCTTTTATTTGTATGCATATGTAAAAACCTGAGGACAAGCAATTCTAGTCAGGATGTGAGGTTATGTATTATCCTTGTCCAGTTAAGTGCAAGAATCTTTAGTATTCGCATATTTTAATGAGTATTTGAAATCTTGAGCATTATTTGATCTCCTGGTTCAGTATATGTTTTATCTTTTTTGTTTTTTTCATTGGTTCATTAAAAGACCAATACTTGATAGAGAAGAAAGCAGTACAGTTTATGGATTACATATTTTGATCATTACAATGCATCAGAAATGACAGATCAGTGTGAATTTGATCCCAAAATGGGCACATGAAGACTAGAAACATAGCAAATTTTATTTAAAATTACCCAAAAAAAAAAGTGGAAGAGAAAACTAAGCATGCACTACTATACTATAATCCCACTAAGCTAGTCAATACAGAAGAAGCATACATAAATCCTAGGATCCAGGGATTCCCCCTCCCCTAAGAGAGCAATACTTGCAGTCATTCAAAATGCCTGCACTTGTGCTGAGAATGTCCTCATTACTTTTGTTGATTGAGAGCACTCTCTGTACAGTGAGAAAGGCTTTGACATTCATCAACCCAATACTAGCAGCAGATGCATATGCTTAAATGGGAAATAGGAACAATTCCCAACTCATGGATTGATGCTTTTACCTTAGAAGCCCTCAAACATCAAAGCGAAGTACAGAGAAGGCGTATCTACAAGTTGTCCAGTTCAACAATTTGTGCTCTTCTCTCTGCAGCTTTCTTCCTGATGAAGATGCCCCATCTCAAGGCTGCTTTAAGCTTGAGCCAACCGACGACAGCTTTTCCTGAAGAACGTGACCGGTCATCATCAAACCCAAACGTCGATGACATATTGGGCATGTATGCTGATGCATACGGGTAATTTTCTTCCATGACATTAGTAGAAGTGTGACTATGGCCGCCCATGTTGAAAATACGGAGAAGATGCTGCATGTCCTCATTTTCAAGCATCTCATGACTCCTTAGCCGAATATCTTCCTCAGTAAAGTAGTCATCAGAAGTAAGATTTGTTGTACCAGGAGTAAGAAAGTTGGACATTGAAGACTGTTGAGGTCGAAGCGCCAGCATATTCTCAGTTCCAGGAGGCTGAGTCTGCTGCGACGTGCCTATCAAGTGATTCTGGAAAGGACCATTTAAGTGTCCCGTGACATTGAGATCCATGTTCTGAGACTGCATCAGAAATCTGCCACTCATGCTGTCATTATACCCTGGTGAAAGGAAAAAGTTCAACTTCAGAGCTGAACTAAAGGTAACAACCTAAAACCCTAACCCAAAACTTAACTGATCACCGAAAAGGTTAAGTAGATAATTTGCACAGGCAATCTAAGCAATCTAAACATAGTTTTACCTCCAATGTTTGGTCCTGGATTCATAGCAGGCTGCTCCGAAGGAATTGAGGGCGGGAGAGCTGGAACATTTAGCTGATTAGCGAAAGAGTTTGAATGGTTCTGTGAGCCAACTATGGGGTTATGTTGAGAAGTATCTGAATTGTTGTCGTCATTGAGGCTTAGAAGAGATTTGCCATCATATTCAATGACATGCATCCAATTATCATATGCCTTCTTCACTAAGGTGTCCACATAGACCTGCCAAAAAAGACAGCCATTCGTCTCACATTTTCAACGAAGATTTTGAAGAATTAAGGTTGCATAGTAGGGTGGTTGTAGCAAACCTTTTGGTTGTCTGAAAGAGAATCAATAGAATGATACTGTCCACTAGCAATCAATCCACATAGTTCATAGATATTGTTAAACACAACCCCGACATTCCTCATATCATCAGGATAGTAGACGTAGAGTTTCCCGCTTAGAACACACGTCTTTGCATGCTCTACAAGAGCTTCCCACATCTTATTTGACATTCCACTTCCCAGGACCTGAGTGAATAGAGAAGGTAAGTAAAGGTTGTCATCTAATGTCACAATTCTATTTAAGATTTATTTATAGCATAAAAACTAAAATAAGTTATACTTACATTTCGAAGCCTCTGTGAGTCTGTCACAACAAGTCGTAGGAAGTCTTCCACTGTGAATATTCCAGATTTGTTTAGCCTCTTGTGGAAAGATCCATCCTTTCCTATCTTTTCCAACCTCCAAACTTCATCGCTTAATGCAGGTGGGTAATGTTTCTTGTACACTGCAAAGGGAAACACCACAGGTTAGGCAACATTGTTATAAATATTACACCGTATCATACAATCCCATAATATGTCATATGATACGCCACTCACATTCTCCTCTGTGATCCTTGACAATGAAAGCGTCTGTTTTTGCTTCCCGGATGTGAATGCTCTCACAATAGCCTGGTGCAACCTTCAAACCTAGTCTAAACTTTCGGCTTCTAATCCAGCTAGAATTGTCGGTAAATGTCAACTCACCAAGGGTACCTACGCCTTCCTTTAATGTCACTTGCAAGTCCCCAGTTAGAAGTGGCCTCTTCCCTTCACGCTCTTTCACTATATGAGACTCGAAATCTTCTTGAGTCCAGCCTTCCTCGTCCTCATTGTTAAAATCCCCCTCGAGTACAACAATGTCCAGTTTGACCGACGATTCTGGTCCCGTTGTCACAACACGCCCAGTATTTCCATCGAGCAAAACAACATGGATGGAAGAACCTTGTTCTCCCTCAACCTTCCCTCCTGTAAAGAGAGGTAGTGACAATTTCGACCTAAAGTGTAGCTGTAAGTTTCTACCATCCGGTCCTTCTATTCTTTTCGGAGAAACCCTGTTCATCAGTAAGTATAAATCTCACTGTCAGATTGGAGAGAAAAGTAACATAAAGCTGCAACTTGATAGAGAATATGTTTTTCATACGAAAGTATTTCAGTATATGTATTTCATACGAAAGAAACCCTGTTCATCAGTAATATGTATTTCATACGAAAGAAAAGCCATGTCCTGAAATAATTTCGGCATTGGAACATGAAACATACCTAGAGTTAAGTTTGGCGGGGGGCAACTTTGCCAAAGCACGCTCCACTTCTTCACTAACCTGGTACATAGACGTAACATGTAGTGAGATTAAAAGACACCAAAATATCAAACCAAAGCTATAAAATGCAAATGCATCTCAGCAACTATTGATTTCTTTCAAGCATTTTACTGCCACTTGAAATCTTACAGTCTTACTTAATCAGCAAAAAATAGTGTGAAGGAATGCAAAGAAAATACAGAATATGACAAGAGGCACTGTGGGTGAATTATACATGCAAACAGATCAATTATTAAGCTTCTAATTGGAATTAAACGGTGAATTTCATAGTTCATAAATTATTGGACAAACAAAAATAGGCACAAACAGAACAGTTTTGCTGGCTGTTTGATCTAATTCTGGCATGTAATTGTCTAGTGAACACAGAGATGTCATAAAGGCCAGATAATCTTACAACTCTGCGAAGAATCGGCTCCAGTGATGAGCAAAGCTTTTGCAGACTGTCAACCTTCAGCGCTTCAACAATAACACTGCACTAAGCACATGATCTTCAATAAACCATGCTATGTATGGTCAACTTCAATAATAGATGAAATTTAAACTGGCATCTTTGTTTATGTGATAAAAGATTTATTACAAACATGTGCACTCATGAATTTGATATTCGCTACACTTCTCATATTATCCTTTTTGTAAATGTAGCTTACTTAAAAGTTAAAACAAGAATAATATGCACATGAGACCACAACCCAGCAGCTACGAGGGTGTGCACCAGTAAACCCCATCTTGTGATCCTAGATGGCAACCACTCCAGTTGGGAATCGAACTTGTAACCTTGTGTTTATCAAGTCAACAGCCTGACCAATTGGCTAGGATTAGCCATAAGACAGCTCCGAGAGTGTGCACTGGGTAAACCCCAGTGCAAACGCTCCAGCTGAGAATCAAACTTGTGACCTTATGATTACTAAGTCAACAGTCCAACTGTCCAACCAACTTGGTTGGGGTTGCCCCAAAGAACTTGTTTATTTTTAGTCAGCAGTTCAGCACCCACAACAGCTGAAGCTCAAGTTTACCTAAATAAGCTTCAAGCCAATTCAGGAGCAAGTTATATCACTCTCCAGTCTCCACTGTGTATATCTTCATATTCTAGAGATATACTGACAATATTTCTCAAGAATTCAAGACAAAATTGCCACTTTTATTTCAACAAAAGCAACATAAAAAGCTATGCATATATCCTTTAGTTTGCCTTTAAGCATAAAGGGCGCACCAAGGAGTCAGAACCTGAAGTTGCTAAGCAATAAACCAAACCCAATTCAAGAAGATTCAAAACTCAACTAAAAAAATATTATTTATGCCTTACAGATATGCACTGACATGTATAGAAGAGAGTGGTGATCTGTAAATTACCTGGCAAGAGCAGGGCGTTTTCTATCAGGCTGGCCTTCTTCACTACTACTACCCGGATTAGGTCGTTTCTCCCGAGCCATACTAGCCGATCTTTCCATGTACCTAGTCTGCATTTTCACAGCAAAAAACTCCCTCAGACCTCTTCTTCAACCCCGAGATCTGATCTGGAGCTAGGGCTTTCTGTAGCTTAACAGAAACTGCTTTCTTCTCTCTTGGAGTTAAAGTAAATAGATTAATGGCGGGGAGATTCCCAGGCGAATAAAAGGTTGCGCGAACGAAAAGGAAAAAGGAAGGGAGAAAGAAAGCGGGAAACAAATTGAAACAGCGCGGAAAGGGGTTGGAGCTTTCCGGGAAACTTCAAAGAAGCATCCTCTCACTTTCTTACCTCTGTGGTTTGGCTTGACTCCACTAAGCCGCTACACGAAATCAACTGAAGAAAATTGGTCTTTTTTTCCCCTTCTCTGATTGGTTTCTATTTTGATGGCTGCCCGACGGCTTTGCACCCTGGTGGTCCAGAATCCAGATCTAATCACCACCCTCTATACACTGTAGATAGTGTTTTGTCGGCAGAAACATACATGTTATATTGCTAATTGAGGAATAAACAAATTATTCAATATTAACCTTTTTTCATGGAGCATATGATTTGTCCATATTGAGACTGTACTACAAGTTTATAAGATAAGTTGTTTAAATCACAGATGTCTCTTCAAGGTCTGTGAGCTATCCATTGCTGGATAGAATGAGGTAAAGACTGATCGTGTATCTTACCAGTTGAACTATGTTTGATGAGGTAAAAGTTGGTTAAATATGAAAATGATATGATGAATTTAGAGTTGTTTGCGTACTCGATCAATCATGGGAACCGGCTCAAATCAATAGGTAAAACAGTCAAACTTGTAACATTATAGTTACTGTGAGGATGTGTAAATCAGCCATAGATGACTAGCTAAAATCAATAGTCAATAGGCAAAATAGTCAAACGTGTAACATCCGCAATAATGTGTTAGACATAGCTGACTGACTCAAACTAAGAAAATTAATAAGCGAAATAGTCAAATTTGTAATACTATAGTAATTAAGTCAACAACGTAATCAACGTAGTTGGAGTTGATGAACCCAATAACTCCCAATTTTACTAAATAAAGAATGGTTGGGCAGCAGTTGACTACATTGTTTGAGCTAATTTGGAGCTTCTATGAAAGGGATGTTGATTAATTAAACAAATTTGTATTAAAGCACGATAATCCCAATCAGCCTCAAACATTATTCCAACAACTCATCTTCCTGGCTTGTATTATGTTCGGTGATGACGAGGATGCCAGGATGGACGAGGGAAATAGTAGTCAATACTAGGAGAAGCAGGTCAAACTACGAAATGGGATCCGCCCACGTGCAACCCAACCCTGAGTCGTTAGCTCCAAATAAAATAAAATAAAAACATTTTTGTATTAACGCTTCAGAGTTCAGAAGTCAGAACTGCCACGTTCCGCTTCCGCTCCAAACTGCTGTCCCATCATCAAAACAAATTCTGCAAATGTTGCCATCGTGTTATTAATGCATCCAAAATACGAGAAGAGTTTTGTTCTTTCATAGTATATATCTGGTTAAAATAGTATTTTATTTGATATTAGAAATGCTTTTAGAAAAAAAAAAATAGTGAATGATGATTTACTAATTTTCACATCAATAATAAGAGTTAAAAAAAAAATCTTTTGAAATCAAGATTATAAAGTATTATGATATTGTGACTTGAGATAAGGAAGTTTACTAATATTAAAGCCGGTATACTTGTTTATATCAAGGCCGCGCCCAACAAGTCTATTAATATCAAAAAAGAGTAAATTACACTTTTTGTTCTGTGAGTCTGTGACTATAGGAGGCGTGTTAATTTCAGTACTTAACTTTAAAAACTAACAATTTAGTCCCGTAACTATGCAATTTTTAACACATTTGGTCATGCCGGTTAAATCACCGGCCAAATATTGCCGGAAAAACCCAAACCATTTTTAACTATTTAATCAGAGGGGCAAATTAGTCATTTCAAATCACCTCCTTCTCCATTCAACCTACTCGCCGACTGATTTGCGAAGGAAACGGCAACCCATATCTTCGAATCACCGGCCAAACCCATGTTAATGGTAAATCATCACAGATTAATGAAATTATACACTGATTCTTTCGGATTCGTTCACAGAGGAAGAATTCACCGTGAAGTTGCCATCGCCGCCATTCACAGAGGAAGAATTCTCCCATGGTCACCCAGAGCATCAAAAACACCAAGACGATGCTTCAAATCATAGAGGTTCTGGAATTCTCTCGTGGTCAACCAGAGCATAAAAAACGTTCACAGAGGTCTTCACCGTTTCAATGTTGTCCATGACGACGACAGCGGCGAGGCAGGTGGAAGAGGACAACTGCGATATGTGCTAAGATTTGCTGAAAAGACGTGTGATTTTAATGAAAGATGAAATGCTAAATATGTTTCGACTTTTGAAGCTTGCGATTTTTATATTGGTGGGATTAGAGGTAGTGTAATTCAATCGGCCGTCGTTGCAACTCTTTGCAAGAAAGAAGAAGAAGAACAGAGGAGAAGGAAGAAGAAGGAAGAGCTGAAATGACCAATTTGTCCCCATAATTAAATAATTAAAAATAGTTTATATTTTTTCGGTCAAATTTTGCCGGTGATTTGGCTGGAAGGACCAAATCTGCTTAAAAAATCATAGTTAAAGGACTAAATTGTTATTTTTAAAAGTCATGGAACGAAATTAACATGCCCCCTATAATCATAGGACCAAAAGTGTAATTTGCTCTATCAAAAAATATAAATATCAGAAAGCAACTACAAGCATACGATATTCAAATTACCAAAGAAAATAAAATTGTCTTATAACCTCATCATAGTACAAGTAACATTAATCTTTTAATCTTGTTGCCTTTTGGATAAAGTGGCTGGAAAGAATATTAGATTAAAACGTAAGTCATAACTCATAACACTAATCCCGCACGCAAGGCTAACTTAACTGTCACAGTAGACCCGGAATTCTGAATTAAGAAAATTCAAATTCTATGGATTACAGTTTGGCAATGGATAGGCGTCCCTGACAACATTGCTACCATACTAAAGACGAGTAGTGAGATCCATAAGAGACGTGTGGGCATCATGCCGTCAGAGGAGACTTCAACAAACATTCATACTCAAAATCTTCATCTTTAATTTTCTCTAAATGGCTTAGTCCATTTAATGTCTGATCTTTAGTTTCAATTCGCCTGTAAGGACAACACCATCAATGCATTTTAATGAGTTTTTTTTTTTTGTTTGTTTTTATTTTTTATTTTTTTATGACATGGATGAAAGATGGCACAATGTAAAAGAGAGATGAGAGCTTTCAAAGGTTAACTTCACCATATATAATTTCATTTTCTTGTCTTCCAGATTCCGTTAAACACGTCTGACAGTGTCGTATCATCAACGGTTAGCAAATTGTGTTAGCAATTAGCAAATAGCGGAGTGTATTAGCAAGTTTGATAAACTGTTTGTAAAAAAATGTTTGATAAAATTAGCTTAGCGATTAACATGTAAAATAACATAAACAGTATACATAAATTTCACAAAGGAATAAGGGTCAAATAGAACTACACAGCAAACTGCAATTGAGTCATTGAACTAAAAACAAAATTACAATTAGGTCTCCAAACAATGCAATTCAACCTAAAATGACTTGTTGACCTGGTAACATGCTGATGTGGCGGTTACCAAATTTTAAAAAATATTTTTAAATTTTATTTTAATAAATTTAAATTAAATAATAATTTTTATAAAAAAACTATCGCTGGAGAAGGCGAGAGGCTGCCTTCTTTGTTGAGAAGGCAACCCAGTGGATTGCCTTCTCTAGTTAGGTTGCCTTCTCACTGGCGTCTTCTCCGGTGAGGAGGCATGCAGCAGGTTGCCTTCTTCGCTGAGAAGGCAGCCCCTCGCATTCTCAGCGGAAGAGGCGATATTTAAAAAAATAAAATTAATTGGTATTTAATTTAAATTTATTAAAAGAAAAGTAAAAACAATATTTTAAAATTTGATAACCGTCACGTCAGCATGTTACCGGGCAATCGTTATGCTGTGGAACCGTGTCCACCTTGCAAGATAGACACGATTCTATGTTCATAATTACTGAACTATATATTCATAAATTTTGAACTTCATATTCATAATTAGTGAACTCTATATTTACAATTACAGAACTCTATGGTCATAATTACTGAACTATATGTTCATAATTATTTATATATTCATAATTTTTGAACTTCATATTCACAATTATTAAATCTCTATCTCTATATTTATAATTACAAAACTATATATTCATAATTATGTTCACAACTCTATGTTCATACTTATAAAACTATATGTTCATAATTTTTGAACTATATATTCATAATTATGAACAGTTTTGAAACCGTGTCCACCTTCCACAGCCGCCGTTACCAGGTCAACAAAACATTTAAGGTTGACCCAAATACAATTTGCTGTGTATTGGATGGCCTATTTGGCCATTATTCCTTTCACACACAAAAATTAATAATAATAATAATAATAATAATAATAATAATAATAATAATAATAATAATAATAATAATAATAATAATAATAATGATGATGATGATGATGATGATGCTAACAAAAGTGAAAAAAAAAAATTAATAATAAGGGGAGCATCTCCCCTTTATTTTCGATGTGGGTTGGGAAGGAGTCTCAATAAAACGAGCTTCAAGGTTCCATTTATTTTAGTTGTGCTCATCTGAATTCGGATGGGTACGGCTATAAAGAGCCTTTAAGGTTCCTCATAAATTGAACCTTAAAGGTACCTCAATAGTTTTTTTTTTTTTTTTTTTTTTAATTAAAAGTAAAAGTGTTTTGGGAAAAATGTAATTTTTCTTAGCAGCGTTTGAGATTCAACAGTTTGGAACAATCTGTTTGATGCAGAACGCAGTAGCTGAACAAAGAATTCTAATGATTCATTAGAACAAAACAGGAAGTACATTCATAATAATTTTCAAGTCCCCCTTCTGGTTACAAAATGGCCTAATATATAGGCATAAAACAAAGCAACGTAACATTCAAATTCTAGGAATTGTAAAAGACACATGGAAAATGAAAATGCATTTAATATAATCTAGGGAAAAGATTCTTGAGCCTCCAAACAGATATTACTCAGGTTCCTTGTGTTGTGTTGCTGGTGTGAACGCCATCATACTCCCCTACCTGTGAAAAACTCGTCCTCGAGTTAGCTTCATCTGGATACAACTCTTGGCCAGGATAAAACTTGAAGATATCTGCAACATTGAAGGTTTTCGAAATCTTCCAGTCATCTGGTATGTTCACGACATAGGCATTGTC